TTTTTATCAATTTGCAACTTTCGGTCGACCTTGGCGGTCGCCCTTGTCAACTCGGGAAAGGCTGTATGCATGCTTCTGGCATTTGTATATATACATTCTAGGCGACGCTATTTATTGTTATTATATTGTTGTTAAATAAACTCAAATCAATTATTATCAATAGTTCTATTTCATTCTCCTCGAAATTTCCCGTTTCCACTACAAAGAAATACATCGACAAAAAGTAATTTCAGGGAAGAAGTAATTTCAGGGGACACGCGACACACAATTAGACAAACAACTCAAGATGAATTCTTCGTAGAACAATCTACATCGCTATAGTCCTGCTCAAATTATTTCTTATATAGTAGTGTTGAAAGTATTAAACAAAAGGTAATAACCAAACAAACCAATACAAGCTAACATTTCAAGAAACAGAGCAGTTGGACACGGACAATTTACAAAGCAGCCAATCGAACAATGCCAACTTTAAGAGGTAAACTATTTGAAACCAGCGTTTGGTAATAAGTTGTAAAGAGTGGAATTCCAAGACAATTCAGACAACAATTCAGTGACAACCTCGAAAATTCAGCACGTTTTTATCATGATGAAATACGCATAGTTTTGTATTGTGCCGCTGGCGCATTTTAGTAAAAGCCTGGGTCATTCACAAAAAAACATTATATCCCGTGGCAGTATATCTAAATAGCCCGACCCCTGTTCGCGAACAACTGTTTATCATGAGAAGCTATGGGAAGTTATTTGAATTCAAAGCTAAATATTTGAATTACAAAGGCTTAAATCTAATTGAATCAGATACCAAGTATTGTGGTTATGAACAGTTAATTTTCGTGGTATATGATGTCTATTGTCTACAGATATTTGATATAACAGTCATATGTTATCGAGCAACAGTAGCACGACAGTGATAGAATTTTGGGGATATTACTGAATCTGCACTGTGACCGTTGTTCTGCCTTATAGAACCTCGTGCCCCATAAAGATTATCTCAATCCTTACCAGCTAACCCTAACCTCACTAACCCTAACCCCAACCTCACTCGGTGCAACGTTATGGCGCACGACAATTTCCAATAGGAACAAATTGGGTCAACAATAAAAATCCGGTTGATCAGACTGGACCTGAATCTGATTGACCAGATAACGTACAGTAACAAACGATACCTTAACTAAAATATGAGCAAAATAAACTAGAGAATACAACCATTTTGATGTTCAACTTTCCAAATACTGATCTGAGTGCGGTTGATTTTGAGTAGTCCGTGTATTGATCCCCTATTTTGAGAATGAAGCCAAACTGGACCACAATATTCTTCTGTACGTGTTCCGGACTGATATTTTATTTGGCTCCTACTCAGAGGATCGCGATCTATCTGAATTACAGTTACAGGGTGGGCGATTAGTCAGTGTGCAGACGTTTCAAAAGACTCTCTTTTAGAATATTCGTCCGCACTTTTAAAAAGGCTAGAAATGTGCCCCTCGCCAATAGTAATTTTCTAATTTAGCATGAATCACTGTACCCTAGCAATGGGGAGACCCAGCGGGGGACAGTACAAATAGCAACGCTGCTGTATTTTTCATGGCCCGCTTGTTCAATTGCAGCTGGAGTATGAGTATCAGTCTGGAATACGGACAGAATATTTCAAAAGTAGATCTCCCGAAAAAGCATTTAAATATAATATTCTCGATAATTCATTTCCCAGCTGCGATCAACGGAATGACACATTACAATGAACCGGCCTATGATCTTATGATCAAAGTAATATTACTAAACGCTCGCCAGCGATCATCAGTAGACGTGACGGACAGTTTTTCTTTTATCTAAATTTACCTGTCTTCAGTCTACAAGTACAGCGACGCTCAGGTCTGAAAGGGATTAATAAATGTTTTTATAAGTTGTATAAAGTCACGTTTGAACTAATCTTTAGCTTATATTCACACAAAATACACTGTAAAATTGTACAGTGTACGTGGTATGGATTATTGAGCGGCGCCTGCCATTCCGCCATAATATATTCAATCTATGAACACTGAAGCCGGAGATCCCAGGTAAGGTATAATTGTGAGACCCTGGTTCTTTCGTCAAAAGTGGACAGTACGTATTCTGTCAAATTGCCAGTCAGCGTAGTTGCCAGGCACCATCCATCAAAACTCCTATTGTGTGCCGAATTTCACTTACAAGAGGCGCGACTCTATGTGATCTAGAAACAAAATTATACTTTTGAAGCTTTGCCACGCGTGCTGTCCTGCTGAATCACTTTACAGATATTCCTAAAAGGGCCCCGGCAATTGAAACTTACTAGAATCGGTGTATTTTTGCATACTGATTCCGAATCAGTATGCAAACCCACGTGAAACCCACATGAAATAATCATATAGGATCAGTTTCGCGATCAAGGGCAGCCACAGAACTGAAATTAACAGTCTAGACCCATTGTACACATGTTGTATCTATAATATTTATTAACCTCCTCGCGTCAATATGAAATGCAGCTTTTGTGTTTCTGATGGCTCTGGCGACTAATCGATCAACTGAGAACTAAGACTAAATTGAGAGCTAAGAAAATCCAGCTTTATGTAAAGATCGCCAATATAGTAGACTGACTATATTCAGACAATATAAGAAGTAGGCGAGAAGGATGTAAAGTATACCACAAAGCCTGCCGGGCGAGATCCGTCTCATACTCCAGCAATTGAACCTGACACATCATTTAGCAAATTCTATTTTCCGCTATATAAATTGCTGTATAAATTTTAATTTAGACGGTTGAGACAGAGCAATTCAAAAATATGCTGAAATTACGCACGGTAACAATTATAATTACTAGCAGGAACCCGTCTACCCTAAAGTGGTGTCAAGACTCGAGAGACTAAAATAATTATTACCTATTTAATTTGCGTTTTTGACACCACTTGGGAGTCCAAATTTTGGGCACTAAAATTCTTATTCCTTGGCCAATTTTTTACTTTTTCATGCTGATTTGAAGGCCATTAAAGCATTTGACCCAGTCAAAAAAGTTTCAGTTATATATCTTTTACGGTTTTTGCGGAAAGTCGCGTTAAAGTTGATGCCATGGTGTCAGTAAAATGGCACGGAACCATATATATCGTCTCGCTTTATATATAGTAAGATGCACACTTTTGCTGCAGTTGATCCAGTCATATACTTTCAAATCATATCAAAATTGAATTTATTTTTCTCACTTTCGCAATTTAAGATACATTGAGATGTATTTAAACTTCTACACTACTAGTTTCCTGCAACCACATCTTTGAACAATGTCTACAGTCTAATATTTAAAAATCACCGGAATGAAAACAATAAATAGGGTCAGGTCTCAGGAAATCCTCTCCGAACCTCCAGGTGGTGTGGCCTGGTTGGCACTAACGGGTGGTGTGCTCTCTTGTTGAGTACAAAGGTTGGGACTTGCCAACGCAAAGTTCCCATATCAGATATCAGGTTACAAAATATAGTACACGCACAAATGAAGACACGTTAGACACAGATACCTAGCTCTAAGCACCTATTAAATCACCAGGAAATTCTCTTTTAGCTTTCAGGCCCCATCGAAGTCACCCACCACAGAGCTAGGGATTCCAATTCGCTCATTCTGACTTCAAGGACAAACTGATAAAGACTACTCATTATCAGTGATAATGAGCAGTCTTGGCACTTCTCCCTCCCGTAACCACTTTTCAGGTATTTTCAGCTAATGAAGAAGGGCTGACACACGCTAGACACAGGCTCGTGATAAGACAGAGTTATGGATTTCTTTCAACTCTCTCACTCCGACTACGAGGACACACTGATAGCAAGAATTCCTGGCACTTATTCTTCCAGTAACCACTTTTCAGGTCTTCTCAGCTAAGGGCTCATCTAACATCTTGAGACCATCACATTTAACCTAGGATTAGGGGACCGGGTTAGCTTTGCCACACTCTTCATTGAAGTGTGACTGGACGCTCTATAATCATCTATAACAGCAGCAGAGTTTGAATGACACCCTTACTTGTTCTAATCAGTTTCTACAGCGGAAGATCTCAACGCTCGAAAACAGTTCATATCGGACATCCTGCAAAGATGCTTTATCACAGCCTGTCCTACCTTATCGGACCTTATTTGGACGGACATTACATGAACGGACATAATTGTGAACGGACATTAATATGAACGCTCGAAGGCATTCAAAACCATGAAAACATTTTTTTCAATTTTTTGACGTTTTTTTAATTTCAGCAAATGATTTTTTAATCCATCACAATGCTGCCAAGCCTTTATATTCGCCTTTATATTCACAATACTATTTACCCCCTATACTATTATATCCCCTTTATTGTTTTCCAGGCATTAAGACTCGTCGAAAGTAGTTCAGTAGGTATATTTAAGTTCAAAACATTCTAATTCAATGTTAAAGATGACAGGAATAAGAAATAGTTATGTGGAGGTTTTTAAGAAATTTGCGCAAAATACGCGCCAGAAAAACCCAAAGAGAGAGAGAGAGAGAGAGAGAGAGAGAGAGAGAGAGAGAGAGAGAGAGAGAGAGAGAGAGAGAGAGAGAGAGAGAGAGAGAGAGAGAGAGAGAGAGAGAGAGAGAGAGAGAGAGAGAGAGAGGGAGAGAGGGAGAGAGAGAGAGAGAGAGAGAGAGAGAGAGAGAGAGAGAGAGAGAGAGAGAGAGAGAGAGAGAGAGAGAGAGAGAGAGAGAGAGAAATTGTTTGATACCAAAACTATGATATACAAGGTAATTGGAAAGTTGAAAAAAATTGAAACAAAACTTAATTTTCAACCCACTGCGAGCCCTTTATATTTTCTTAGTAACAATCTATTAATACGATTCGTAAATCAAGTAAAAAGTTATTTTCACAAAGTTATTTTCGACTTACAGTGTAAAGTTACCTCCATTTAGGGTGTCAGCTCAGTTGTAAATTCAAATCAGTAAAAACACACTTAACAATAAATATTTTCATAGGAACAGACTTTAAAAAGTTAAAACCAAACAATTCGAAGCTTTGTCGATATTAACTCATGAAATTATAATAACCTAATAACCGATAAGTTAAATTTCTAAATATGGGGGCAATAGAATATGTTATGAATCATCCCTGCAATTGCATAACAAAATTGATGTCTGACTAAGTCATAACTTAACGTCCAGCAGCACTGGCAACAAGCCAACAAAGCTGGCAACAAGCCAACATGTGATGAACAAAAATGTGCCTTTCTGTTTCTGCTTCCTTATTTAAGCTAAAGTCAGTCCACTCTACTCAGTGATTGCTTGATTAACAGCAGGCTTAGGCCTCCTAATGTGAAGTGCAACATTTGTAAGAGAGCGTCTCATCCCGTTCAATATCCTCACTTTACGGCCTCTGGGAAGTGCAGCCTGACTTGCCATTGGCTTAATTCCACTTCTACCTGCCCCTTTCTCAGCAATATTAATTCGTGTTTGTCTATTCTGTTGTCCTGAAGTCTGCAGATTAGTATTTTTCACGCCGGTTATGGGGCTAGTAGTAGTAGTAACGGTAATGGGAATAAAGTAACTTCCTCCCGGTCGAGACTGCCAACCAGATTGAGTTGAGTTTTTGCCGCCATATCTCCCACATGTTAGCTTTTGTATCCAAAATGACCTGACTTTCTTATCCATCATAACGCCAAACAGGAAGATGAGCATTCCCTGGTTGAATAAAAATAACAGATTTACAAAAATATTTCTATTAGAAATCTATGGGTTTAGAAGATTGACTCGTTTTTTATGTAAGGATAGAACTGGTAGAATCGAGATTCTCGGGGAAATTGGTTATACTTTAGTCAGCTGCAATTATAGACAGCAGCTAAAAGTTTGGACGCAATCGGCCTGTAGTCGTTCGGACTTATAACTTATTTAAAATAATAATTCAGAGATTAAGGTAGCACATTCATTTAAAATGTAATCCCTTAACATATTGGCATTTAATATTTGCATTTCATGATTTTGAAAGAGGCCAATATTTCTGACCTAGACAACATCCCTCCGCAACCCAGTTTTGACGACCTTTCCGATTCGGATGAAGCTCCTACAAGAAACGAGATTGTTGATGCCCTCAAAAAACTCAAGAATCACAAAAGTCCAGGAGTGGATGGTATCACCAACGAGCAACTTAAGTATGGACAGGATGGGTTGGTTGATCAACTAGTTGTGTTGTTCAAGAAAGTGTGGGAAGATGAGAAGATTCCTGAGGATTGGTCCAAAGGTGTTATTATCATCGTTGGAAAGAAAGGTGACACCTCTCATTGCGCTAACAACAGAGGCATTACATTAAGATCCACAGCCTCGAAGCTCCTGCAGATGATACTCCTGCGGAGACTTAGCAATGGCATGGAAAAATTTCTCCGGGAGGATCAAAGTGGTTTTAGACAGAATCGCTCATGTATTGACCAGGTTTATTCACTCCGCTGTATTATACACCAATGCATTGAGTATAATATTCCTCTGTATATTAATTTTGTTGATTTCAAAGCAGCTTTTGATTCGATTGACAGGCAGTTCATTTGGAGAAGTATGCAGCTGCAGGAACTTCCCGACATTGTAGAGACCTGAGACCTCGACTAAAGTTAACCATTTTCTACTGTTTATATTAGAGGAGCACACATTCAGAACTCCTTCCATACTCCTTCGTGACTAAATTGACGATTTAGACAATTTTACCTGTATAAGAAACGCTATAAAAATGGGCGTGGCATGTGCGGACCATATCCGGAACACTAGAGTCAAAAAAAATTTTTTGGTCGTTCCTGATCCTATAGAGCAACTAATAAGATATGATTTCTAATTATTTGAACAACTTTTGGTAAAATGAACCACTCTAATGCAGCACTACGGCTTACCTGACAAGTACATTAGAATTATGAAGGCGTTCTTCACTCACACAATTAGTGCTGTTAGGGTCAATGGAGAGGTTACAGGTTGGTTTGATGTCAACTCGGGAACTGGGCAAGGTGATATACAGGGACCACCAGTCTTCAACTTTTGTTTGAATTTTTCGGCATACCTTATGGAACTAAACAAAGTCATTAGCAAGGGGGCTTTTATATTACAGCTGCCAGCCCCCGGGGTAGAAGAGAAACATCTCTTGGACACTGATTACGCTGATGACATGGCCATGTTAGATAACTCAAAAGAGGGGCTGCAGGAAACCACTGACCTTCTCTGCAAATACAGTGCCTATGCGGGTCTGAAGATTAATGCTGGCAAAACACAGAGCATGGTTGTCAGCAAAAGTGCATCGCAGAGGCCGTATTCTAAAGACGACACTATGGACATCAATGTGGAAGGTCTCCCAATACAGCAGGTCAGCAATTTCACTTACTTGGGTGCAATCATCAGTGCGAATGGAACAATTGACAAAGAACTATCAGCTCGAATTCAAAAGGCCTCTGGGGCATTCTATCAGCTTAGCAGTATATGGTACAGTCGCAGCATTAAGACTCCAACTAAAATCAGGATTTACAAAGCGGCTGTGCTCACTATACTGCTTTATGGAAGTGAGGTATGGAATACCACACAGACGCAGATGAAAAGATTTGAGGTGTTCCATCATAGATGTCTGAGGAGAATCCTGAAAATCAAATGGTTTTATTATGTATCTAATGCTGATGTACTTAAGCGGGCTAACATCGCCCCTGTTGATACTTTCGTACGAGCAGCTAGACTCCGATGGTTTGGCCATGTGGTGAGGATCAGGCTTGTCCGCCGTGGCTAAATGGATCGGCGGCGGCGTTTCACTAAAATTACACCGGCGGCGGCGGCGTACGCCGGCGTAAGCCGTGAAATCAAGGCCAACTAAATTGAGGTCTATGAAATATGAATATGATCATGTACTTAATTTGGGTAATTTAGACTTAACTTCAACAAATGATGTTGGTATATTGTTATGTTATTATCTGCTATCAAATAAAAGTTGAGACAAATTGATGCAATTATTTTATTTAAGGTAAAATACATAAACAATAAATTATTGCTGAAATCAATAGATCTCTCAATCTTTTTTGTTGGAAACAAAATCATAGTTTTTAGAACAAAACAGTGTATATTTGAAATTCTTAACATTCATCCTAGATCGCTGACTAGAAAGAATTAAACCTGCAGCCGACCAGGTTCTTTCAATTTCCGCACTACTGGCAGGTATACAATGCACTATTCTTACTATGTTTGAGAGTATTGGGAAAGTTTTTTGCCTATTAGCCCAAAATCTTAAAAAAATCTGTAAAATTTCTTCTTCAGTCAAACTTATGAGTAGGTAGTTAGCTAAAGGTGTGTATCATGTGTGTGTTGCCCTAGCCGCTAATCGCTATCAGTAACACTGATATCTTCAAATGAAGACAGAATTATTTTGAAGTCAGAAAATGCACGCCGTACGCCGATGTACGCCGGGGTGTATCGGCGGCGTTCGGCGAGGCAAAATCACCCGGCGGCGGCGGCGTTCGGCGGCGGCGGACAAGCCTGGTGAGGATGCCAGAAGAAAGAATACCCAACTATCTTCTGCACTGGATCCCAAAGCATGGTAAAAGGTCAAGAGGTAGACCTCGGAAAAACTGGTTGTCATGTGTCCGGGAGGATGCAGCAATCTTCACAGGTGTCGATAACATCACGATAGAAGATGCAGAACAACAAGCTACAGACAGGGTTCACTGGAGAGGTCTAATACACCGGAGAAAGGAGTTACTATGTGGTGCAGGCCACTCCAACGACTAGGAGGAGACCTTTTCAAGTACAAGTAAAGTAAGATTTTGAAAGAAAAATGTGATGGCTTAAAAATATTTGGTTGTGTTAGGCTGCATTCATTAGACAATCTAAGTCATTATCATGACAAAGAAACATTTTTAGCTCACTTACATCATGCAGTACCAAGAAAAAAAAAGGTCTGTAACGATATCTTATATCCGACCGATGTCAAACAATATACCTTATCGGAACTTATTTGGACGGAAATTACTTGAACGCTGGAGGCCCTATAGCGTTCATTTTAATGTCCGTTCAAATTAAGTCCGTTCAATTAATGTCCATCCAAGTTAAAGTCCGTTCAAATTTTTTCAAAAATTTTTCCATTTCGAACTTTTTGTCCAGAATATGACAACTTTGAGAACTTTATTGTGCCGTAAGTTAACGACGGAAAGGTTCTCCTTGGTCTGCCGGAGGCACAGAAAACTCTACTACTACGACTACTAGTATATGATGTTTTCAAGGGTCACTTGACGGAAAAAAGTCAACGAAATTATGGCACTCAACAACATAGTTCATGAACTAGTCCCTGCCAACATGACAAACTTGTTCCAGCCTCTAGATACTAGCAGGAACCCGTCTACCCTAAAGTGGTGTCAAGACTCGAGAGAATAAAATAATTATTACCTATTTAATTCGCGTTTTTGACACCACTTGGGAGTCCAAATTTTGGGCACTAAAATTCTTATTCCTTGGCCAATTTTTAATTTTTTCATGCTGATTTGAAGGACATTAAAGCATTTGACCCAGTCAAAAAAGTTTCAGTTGTATATCTTTTACGGTTTTTGCGGAAAGTCGCGTTAAAGTTGATGCCCTGGTGTCAGTAAAATGGCACGGATATATCCATCCATATATATATATCGTCTCGCTTTATATATAGTAAGATTATGGGTAAATCGTGTTGCCAAGGACATTGTCCGACGTTGTTATAGTTCATATTACTCGGGGGCGGTAATGAAACAGTGCTAGGAAAGCTCCACGTGATGTTAAGGTTAACCTTAAGTTGTCTAAGATATAACCACTTCACGCCGAATGGCTTGTAAAAGTTGACACTGAAATGCAGGACCGGGGTAGTTTGATAAAAAAAGGTTTCCATAAAGCTAGAAATCACTGATGCTTTAAGCATGGACTATTTCATGCACGAAAACCCATTTGATGAAGATGATATGTGATATTAGACACTGATAATGTACACATTTTTACTGCTTAATGACTGCTTTTCTTACTAACTGTATAAAAAATGGATTTAAAAATCATTTGCTGAAATTTAAAAAATGTCAAAAACCGTATTTTTGATGGTTTTGAATGCCTTCGAGCGTTCATATTAATGTCCGTTCATGTAATGTCCGTCCAAATAAGGTCCGATAAGGTAAGTACAATTGGGTGTCATCGACTCAAAAATTGGCGGCGAAAAAATCGTTGATTCGCGAAAACTTACCTGTGGAGCATTAAGAAGAATAAATAGCCATCTTAGAACCACACTTATATGACTGTAGTTTGAGGAATTCATCAGAAGAAAGAATCCCACTAGCCAACTGAGACCCAGTAGCGTAGATACACCTAATGCAGCTTTTAACTGTTCCTGAAAAGTTGAACGTCCAATTCGGTTTATTTATTTAGTTATTCAATATCATCTATGAGTTTTCATTTTACAATCTTAGATATAATAATAGGGAGGGAGGGAGGACGTTTTGTTACCTGTCTTAACTTTATCTTTGAACAGCGCCGTTTTTTTGCTTTCGTTTCGTGAGCTTTAAATATTACTCGTGCGATGGAGAAGAAGACAAACCAGTTTATAAGCATCCCTAGAGCAAGTGGGCCGTAGAATGTCGCCAGTCCATAGGGATGTCTGATGTAACATCTACAAATATGTTTAAATCTAATTTTCATCGATTTGAAGTGTTGAAAGGACCTCTATTCAACTTTTACGAAGTTTAATTTATCCCAAATATAAATAAGACGTATGGCTAATTTATAATACATTAATTGCACGCTGACGTTTCCCCCCCCCCCCCCTCTCCACATACTAACGTTTTTGGATCAGTAAATCTTCTTCCACCCCATGCCATACCCGCAGTTGGAAAAATTATAGGAACACCCCATCCAACAACACAGTACTTCAAGAATGCGTGATCAATGTCGATTCCAAAGACTTTCACCAGTGCTTTGTACATTGTTATCGCTAGTAAAACCATCCAGCTTATTTGACATAGCCAGAAGTAGTTGAGAAGGAACGATATCTGAAAGCATTTTATCTTTTAGTCGTTCGAAATTAATACTGTGCCGTACCTTTGTAGCAGTGTAACAGATAAAGCAAGCTAGAATACGAATATTGATGGAAAAGGTGACAGGATTATTACAAATCTATTAATCTAACCACTCATACTTTCACAGACTTACAATTGAGCACGGAATACTGGGGTCTGTATGGCTATCAGCCGACACGAAATAGTCCATTAAAAAGAAAGATGTAATGGAGAGGATGAGAGCGGTTGTGAGCATCATCTTCACTTGCGAGTACAGGACCTCTCTCCTCTCCCTGAACATTGCATGTTATTTATATTTCTCAGAACATAAAATCAGGGTTTCAGATTGACAGGGTTTTAACCAGTTATACTCTCTATGAAACAGAGTTACAGTTTATCGTGGATATGTAAACAAATCCCAAGTGAACTCCTGAAAGCGGACATGACGGACATGACGGACATGACGGACATGACGGACATGACGGACATGACGGACATGACGGACATGACGGACATGACGGACATGACGGACATGACGGACATGACGGACATGACGGACATGACGGACATGACGGACATGACGGACGGATCACCTAATGAAGAAGATAGCGGGAAGAGTGAGGACCAAACAGAATAGACTGAGAGCCAGGAGGACCAAAGAAACCATATCTTCTGTTTCACTTGACTCACTCTCGAATGTCTGTATATGGTGCAGTGTGAGATAAAACTTGATAATTTGATATTTTGAATCTCAAATAATAACATCTTGAATTTGAACGTTTCAAGTTCTCTGAACTTAAAACATTAATTATTTCTAACAGAAGTTGGCGTAATGAAGTGAAGGATTAAAAAGCTGGCTCACCATAAGAACAGCAAAACTAGTGAGATGGTCACATTCACATAGCACCTCATATGTGTTTCTAGATTCGTTGAAAACTGTTGTAGTTTTACAACCTTGTTCACTCCAATCTTTGACTGATAAAGATACAATTCTTTAGTTATTTTAAAGTATATTTATCAAATCTGTTTCTGTGATTCTTTAGTTAGATAATTGACTTTACAGTGTATGAAGTAAAAAGAACTGAAAGAAACGTTAATTTATGGCGACGTTTCAGGGCGACAAGGAAAAGGCTCCTATCAGGAAAGGAATTATTCAACGTTTCAATGTGACAATATCGTATTATTCATGATCCTTGTCGCATCAAACGGGATCAATAAAAATTTACCCAAGAAAACATTTCAACTATGCGACTCATAAATAATATTCCAATCCGGATTTTACATAAATCCAAAAAGTTAGAAAATTATCTTTCCGCGAGTAATTTACTTTGGTATTAATGAATCTGATATTGACGAAGCTGGTAAAACATGCTGGTTAATATGGTGATTCTAAACGCTGTTTACCCACGTGAATCATTGTAAAATTTACAGTCCAGAGAATGATGAACAGACGTTTTCCTTTTTGTATAGTCAATTACTCCTTTGGCAAAATCCTGCGACATTATTATGTACGATGATGAATGAACCATTTACACTGGACACCAAACAGAAGAAAATTGTAAAGCCGTTACAAAGTTAGTACATACATGAATTCCCTTGAAATTAAAGAAATACCTAAATTTACTCACCTTAACTTGAAAGTCAAGTGCAATATCTTCTTTGAGTTCCGAATTGTTCGTTTGCAAAGTTATTTTGTCCATGATATTGATATCTGCAATGATAGTCGCCACAAACGATATTTTCTGGGGATTTATGAAAAATTTTAAATATTAATGAATAAATAAAATCATTTGTACCACTATAATTGAATTCAGATGCAGATCTATAAACTGCATATTTACTTCAGGCGGATTAAAGTCTGTCAGTTGCATGGACTATCAATAAATAGCAGTAAGTTTCTAAATAAAATAACCTTCATTTCACCGGAACCATCTATACGTAATAACTGAGCGAGATTCCGAGAAATTGTACTGTCTTGTTCCGCAGATCCATCAAGGTTTATATTCATGGTAGAATCGGAGGGGAAAAGGTTGTCCGATTGGTAGAACACCACTGCTGCAACCATACTGTCTGGTGTTTCTAGTTCAGCCTAGGGGGAGAAATTAAAAATGGCAAAATAGTGCAGAAATTTAGACCCTTACTTTAAAATTGTAAAGAGGGTCAACTGTCAATACATTAAACAAAAGTTTGATTTTAAATTCATTGTACAGCTGTTATAGTATTATCCAGTCAAGCTGTACAGTCGGTAGATTTAAGGTAGTCATGATTACCTGGAAGTACACATTCTCTTCATTTTGACTTGCGGGCACCGAACTGTTTTTAAGAACATTATTTTCACCTGAAAGTCCTAATATATTCTTTTCGTCCTCACCTTGTCCTTTCTTTACCTTTGCCACACCAAAACCTGCAAAGTAAGAGCTTTCACAGGTTATATGTTCAAGTTAAGACCCAGGAAGAATACAAATCTTAATTAGTTTTAATTATTTCAAGTCAGAGTGGTTGGTAACTGGACTAAATTTACTGGATCGATAAAAATTGTAATTATCATCTCTGAATCATTTGTTTCCATGGTTACAAGTATAGACATCAAAATACTGATAAGCTACAGTAAAATACTCAGCAAAAGATTGAGAAATGATGTAGATTATGCTTACCGACCGATTCTTGTATGATCAAGTCTTCTAGTGAGTTAGAATCAGTCTGCTTAACAACCATGAGTTTCCTTGATATCGAGACAGAAGCTGTTTTAAGTCTATCATTTGTTTTATCTAGTCGAAGGTCTTCAACTTCAGTGTTTTTCTGAATATTATCCATCGTGGACATTATGGTCTTAAGAGCAATGGGTGAGAGTACAGGTGGGTGATCGAGTGCTGCCTCTGGTGATGTTTTGTTTACTCTCAGTGCGGCTGGTTCCTCAGGTGGGAAAATTTTCGGTTCTCCTAGAGAAAGGATTCTTTCAATGATATCGACCGATTGGTCAACTTCATTGGATGTCAGTGAACTTCCTGATTTCTCTGTGGTGTCTTCCAGTTCTTTAGTTACATTCTCGATCTTTTTTGATACGTATGCAGATTCTGACAATGTGGAATTTTCCGAAAACTGAATTAAAAATAATGTTTTAAACACAGAGTAAATGATACTTATATATGCTATAAGCATATAATCTATATATAAGTATATAGTCACCAAGAACTGGACACTTGATTCTAACGTGGATTTCTCTCAAATTATAATCCGCAATACTTTTACAAATTCACCTATAAGAATGAAAAATAAGAATGAAGGGCCTTCGTTAAAAATTAAAATCGTCGTTTAAAAACTTTTAATAGTATACTTACAATACTCATAATTTCGTTCATTAGTTTTGAAGCAAGTAAAGAGCATTCTGTGAAATCGGTATCCTCAAAACTTCCACTTTCGGAACATCGCCGCCTGGCCACTTTTGAGTCCTAATAATTATTTGCAAGTAAAGAAAAATAGGGTTAATTACAATCCTAACAGCATAATAAAATGTTATATCAAAATAGTAGTATAACTCACATAAATGTCATAGAAACAAGGACTATAACTCACATTACTGTCATAGAAACAAGGATTATAACTCACATTACTGTCATAGAAACAAGGATTATAACTCACATTAATGTCATAGAAACAAGGATTATAACTCACATTACTGTCATAGAAACAAGGATTATAACTCACATTAATGTCATAGAAACAAGGATTATAACTTACATTACTGTCATAGAAACAAGGATTATAACTCACATTAATGTCATAGAAACAAGGATTATAACTCACATTACTGTCATAGAAACAAGGATTATAACTCACATTAATGTCATAGAAACAAGGATTATAACTCACATTACTGTCATAGAAACAAGGATTATAACTCACATTACTGTCATAGAAACAAGGAACTTCACCCCATCTTCCAACTATTATTTCCTTCCAGGCGTAGTTACCGTAATCGTGATGGGTCTCATTTTTAGTGGCACACACTGCATATGAGAAAAGGATTCAATTGAATTGTTGTTGTGATAAAGGATACTGATGATATCTACAATATAACAAAATACTAAAAAATAGCAAACTAGCTATGAAATAGCGATGGTTAATGAAATCGAAAGTAATTATACGGCTGCCAATTATTATTACGGCAAAGAATGACCATTTAAAATAAAACAAACAGCTTCATTTAATTACTGCAGTATGTTCGTTGATCGTTGGAAAAGGTTCCGTCCGGACAGTTTGTGCAGCTAGCTGATGCTCCAACACTGTAAGTGTTAACGGGACACAGTCCACATTCTGACATATTATAAGATCGGTGGGTTCCAGCTTCACAATCTGAAATAGAGGAATATTTTAAATCTGTGAATATAATAGCTAACTTGTTGTGAAAAAATAATGGCTAACTGTTACGCTATAACAAGTTCAGTGACCTAGCCATGTTTTTTTGCTTCTATGCAACGGATAATAACACCAATAATTTATAATTCACCTAAACATTTAGCTCTTTGGTCCTTGTTGAAAGTCCCTTCAGAACAGTTCGTGCAACTTGCTGATCCCACAGGACTATAGTTATTTACTGGGCACTGCTCACATTCCGCCATCTTAAACGTTCTGAACGTTCCAGCTTCGCAATCTAAAATGGTTGAATACGTATATTATGTTTTTGAAGATCATGGGACATCGCTGAATTAATTGATTAGCAATATTTGAAGTTACAACAGATCTCAATAGTTAACTAACTAGCACAGTTTGATTTTGGATCTTTAGCGAATGTTCCTTGTGGGCACTCTGAGCAGCGTGCTGATCCTTTAGGACTATCAGTATTTACTGGGCATGGTTCACATTCTTTCATTCCGATTGTTCTATAAGTTCCTGCATCACAATCTGTAATATCACAATACTTTAGTCTTTATGTTAGTGAAAAGTATGGCAGTAACATTTGAAGTAACATATTTCAGCAGGCTTTAAAAAGATCTTTTTACTTTCACTGGACATAGCTCACTAACCTGAACAGTTTACTCTTTCATCATTAGCTAACATTCCTTCAGAACAATTTGTACACCCAGTTGATCCACTAAAACTGTAGGTGTTCTCTGGGCATAGTTCACATTCTTCCATATCAAACCATCGGTAGAGGCAAAACGCTCTTCTTCTGTATGTTCCTGCATCACAATCTGAAGGCGTTTCAATAATACAGTCATATAAATGATCAACCCAATCGTCATGATTGGTAACTACAAAGAGTTTCATTATGTTTTTGTAGCCCCCCCCCCCCCCCAATGGCACTCCCATTGATCTACTATATGAAAACAAATGAATGAAGCTTTATATTTCAAACCGATTCAAGGAGCCCAGAAAACTGCTGTGAAACCTTCATTTCTGGCTGCATAGTATCACAAACGCCAACGGTCAATTAAAATTGTAAGAAAAAATTTCATATTTTAAAACTCATCTCATTTCAAATGACCGATTACCTGTGCAGTTAGTATGTAGAGGATTAGAAACAGTCCCATCAGTACATCTTTTACAGATAGCTGCTCCTTCAGAGCTGAATGTGTTAGCCGGACAGGTGGTGCACTGTATCATACCTGTGGATCTGTACGTTCCTGGACTGCAGGCTGAAATTATTAATGTGAAATTGATACCACAAACATTTTCTTCTAACAATGAACAGAGTTTAATATTGATGATTTTTTTTCCATTCACTTTTTTATAAAAAGTAAAAGTGGAAGGTTACGAATGGTTAATTTATCTACTATTGACCTCGTAATGTTATCTACTATAATTAACATTATCGATTGAAAGAAAATACCCACCAATACATGTCGATCCTTCTTCGTTGGCGTGAATAGTTCCTTCATCACATCTAATGCACCCTCCAGTTCTATTATTGGGGTTCCCATTACCTGCTTTATCGTCTGCCTCTTCAGAAATACTGCAAACTAAAACAAATTTTGATTCTGGTAACTGCAAAACTTATGTTATACAGAAGACCCCTAACATTGTACCAGTGATCAATGCTAGGATCAGCAGGTACCACCAACTTAAGACTGATAACACATTAATTTCACAAGACATCATGTCCCATTCAAATAGAACGTTGCTCTGCATCATGGCTTTATAGATCTACTGAAGTACTAAGTGACCGGGGTACGGCTCCTTCATCAACATTATAGTGTAATCGAGCAAATAATCAATATCAAATTGTACAAACCTCTTCTATAATACAAGGGGACTATTTTACCGCCTCGTTCAATAACGACCTTGAGATATGACCCGACCATCGTATCCCACTCTTCATCTTTTAGACAAGCAAGTGATACTCGGGATATATTACCAACAGTTTCTCCATCTCTTATAACATAAAATTTGTTGGAGTCTCTGCCAAATCTCCAGATTGATGAGTTTACGGAAGGGGATGCTGTGACGGTAAATTCCCCCGTGCTCATACATCCTCCCCTCTCCTTCGATACTGCAGGACTCCTCCGAATTTGAAGAGCAGGAATGAATCTGATGTGCTCAACTCCCATTTCCAATCAATACTCATCCAGTAAGCAGATGCGGGGATCTTGTATCTTAACAGCATGTTTAGAGTTAGACCAGTTGCACTGCTACCATTCGCTTTTACTTCGTAGTCATACTGATTGAGGTCTTTATTGATTAAGTTCCATTTGTTTCCACTCTCCCCCTTTTCTTGTAGTTTCCAGGATGACGTATAACCTGAGGTATCAGTAAATTTTACATATATGTAGATTGTAGATTGCAGTGTTCTGCCAATAAATTAAAAGTGTTAGGATTCGAATCAACGATGCCAAAATATACGGTAAAGTCTGTTAGTTTTTATTGATGAATACACTCACATATCTTGAATTAAAAATGCAAAAAAATGTCATCTAATGGTTATTGGTATCAAGGAGCTCATGCAGCGTTATCGTGTTTTAGCCTTTTTAAATCAAGGTGCCTTAATTAGAATGCTAAAACCTGAAACGGATATGTAATACAAATATACTCACATTCGTTTGCTTTAGTAAGAAGAAGGAAAAATAATAATTGGTATTTGGCGCCTGCCATCCTCCCCTGTTTGATAATTAAATCAGTATGACAAGAGTGATAGTATTAGTATACTCCAGCCTAAAAGTAAAGTCTAGGTCTAGGACTATCCTTTTTTCTGTGACCCATCCTTGACTCTTAGTCTGTAAAACTATTAGCATCAATTACATTATCAGATCACTTACAATTCTCGCCGTCTGAGCAGAAAACGTTCAAATAATAAACAGCAGAATTGTGGCTACTTTTTGCTTACCACCAGACAATGACTTGCTGGTTCAACAGCAACCCAGACGGCCATTTGATCAGCTTTTGAGCTATTAATTAAAATTAATCAATTCAGTAAATATGATGCATTGTTGAATATATGCAGCATCGTGTCAAAAATCCGCGCAATATTATAGTAAAATCTATATGATGCTACGTACAAAACATAAAAAACAAAAGCAAAAAAAGCGAGCAGATTAAAAATGATCCCCACCTGAAAATTCGAATTACCCGACACAGCAGTGGCATAACGTATTCTGAGCAGTGGCATAACGTATTCATTTGCCACCCAACACCCCAACCCGCCTCGCTTTATTTTGCCCACCCCCCCCCCCCCCCCCCCCCCCCCATTTGTCTTATGGTGAAAAATAAGGTCAGGTCAAATAAACGTTCAATTGGTCTAGTCGGGAAACTGTTCAAATCGATCTTTTTTCTTTCATTAATGCCTTAAATAGGTCTTATTACGTCATTTATCCTTTAAAAACTTTCCAAATTTGATTTTAAATGATACTGAAAATAGGTTAGAATAGTTCTTGGTATTCAAACACCGCCACAAATGTAGAAATTCTTGGAAATTAGTGTCATACAATTGATGCTTCCCGCTTACCGCAGGAGGCCAGAGTCCGTTTGACCGTAACCGAGAGAAAGAAAGACAATCACAGTTGATAGTTGACGGCATATAGGCGATTAATTGGTCCAATTGTTTCTCAATTAAGATTTGAGATAGATCGTTTGCTTATGACCCACCCTATGGCTGAAATACTATTGTGGATACCCTTTGTCGCCCAAACATACAACTACATGATAATGTATATTCAACAGTTTAAGATCACACTTTCGATTGGACGATAGTACACCTCATGTTATGGCAACAATTGATTTGATACAGTTATTTTGGGATTTAGACATTTTACCGAGTTTGTAACTCAGATATAATTATCTATGTGATGACTTGCACACAGTGCTGCTAAGCTCAGTCCCTAACCAACCAGCCAAACAAGTTGCAAGGTGTGACCTATATAAATAAGAAGGGATACAAAGTGTCTTGATACGAAAACCACCCCCATTAGCAAGAGCTCCCTGGCTCCCGTCCCTTATAGTTATGTGATCTACGAGTCGAGCAGCAGACAAATATTAAAGGTCATGTTTACTTCTAATGTACAGCTATGATGTACAGAGTTGACATGTGGACTCAACCCTGTATCTAGCCCATTTCTAGGTCAATTAAATTCTACTGATGGATCACATCTATGGTGGCCGAGGTGGATCATTGTAAATTATTTCAAAAAGACTAAAGAAAAACAAAATAAATCAAGATTGAATTAAAAATTAAATAAAAAATAAATTAAAACAAAATAAAACAAAATTAAAACAAAATTAAAACAAATTAAAACTAAACCAAATTAAAATAAAACTAAATTAAAAGTAAAATTTAAAAATTTTTTAAAAAAAAAACCAAAAAAAAACCAAAAACTAAAACCAAAACAAAACAAAATTTAAATTTTTAAAAAATTTAAAAAAACAAAAAAAAAAACCGATTCAAAACAAAAATGAAATCGCTCCATGGCCGAAACGTATCATCAGCAATCCTCACTGCGCGCCACAAAGAACGTACGTGCGCAAGAGCACGTTTCCTTGATTTTTGTAGGGGATTTGTAGGGGATTTGACCCCTGTAGGGGATTTATGTTCCGGGGTATTTGGAACAGGTTTAGGGGTTTAAATAGTTAGTACCTGTTCCAAACCATCAGAAAAATCAAGTTTCGATCTCCCAACCCACTCAGGCCACTCCCAGGGGCCACGCCCATCCCAAAATAGCTGAAATCCAGGTCAAATCAAGATTGAAAATCTTTACCCCTGTAGGGGATTTATGTTCCGGGGTATTTGGAACAGGTTTAGGGGTTTAAATAGTTAGTACCTGTTCCAAACCATCAGAAAAATCAAGTTTCGACCACCCAACCCACTCAGGCCACTCTCAGGGGCCACGCCCATCCCAAAATAGCTGAAATCCAGGTCAAATCAAGATTGAAAATCTTTACCCCTGTAGGGGATTTATGTTCCGGGGTATTTGGAACAAGTTTAGGGGTTTAAATAGTTAGTACCTGTTCCAAACCATCAGAAAAATCAAGTTTCGATCTCCCAACCCACTCAGGCCACTCCCAGGGGCCACGCCCATCCCAAAATAGCTGAAATCCAGGTCAAATCCCATACAAATCCAGACTGAGAATCTTCACCCCTCTATGAGATTTATGTTCTCGGGTAGGTGGCACAAGTTTTTGTTGGTTAATTAACTAGTAACTGTCGTAAACCATCATTAAAACCTAGTTTTGACATCTTGGCCCACTCAGGCCGCCCCTAAGGGCCACGGATAACCCAGAAAAGCTACAGGGGGTGGCCGGTGGGGTGGGGCAAAAGTAATATTACATACGTTGGGTATTATACCACCACCGTGTTTCATATTATGGACCTGTAACTTTGCAGATGGCATGCTGTAATGCAGCTACTCATTCGAGGATTCCGTCGCCAATGTTCGAAAATTTGAATAATTTACGCCCAAATAATATTAAATCACCTATATTGTTCTTTCCGGACGCCCATCTATTTCAAATTACTGTAGATAATTAATTGCTGCATCGGATCTAAAAAAATTGAGGCCAAACGGATTTGAAATGACGAAGTTATCAAGCATTTTATGTAACTCGTTAACAAAATTGATTGTGTGATTATGTGATAGGACACCTTAATTGGGTTCCCTTGCAATTTAACGGGGTCGCCTAATCACCTGAACAGGTAATCCAATCACCTGATCACACGTAATTAATAAACTCGTTATGCCTCGTATCTCGGTCAAATGAGAAGCTACAACTCTCATTTTTTTCAGATCGAACGTAATTTGAATGACCAAATACAATTCTATAAGATTTGGCTCGACCTGATTATCAAACTATCAAATAAATGCGATAATACAAAATAATACCCCGGAACATAAATCCCCTACTATACAGGGGTAAAGATTTTCAATCTTGATTTTACCTAGATTTCAGCTATTTTGGGATGGGCGTGGCCCCTGGGAGTGGCTAGAGTGGGTTTAGCGGTCGAAACTTGATTTTTCTGATAGTTTGGGAGAGGTAATAACTATTTAAACCCCTAAACCTATTCCAAATACCCCGGAATATAAATCCCTTACAGGGGTAAAGATTTTCAATCTTGATTTGACCTGGATTTCAGCTATTTTGGGATGGGCGTGGCCTCTGGGAGTGGCCTGAGTGGGTTGGGAGGTCAAAACTTGATTTTTCTGATGGTTTGGAACAGGTACTAACTATTTAAACCCCTAAACCTGTTCCAAATACCCCGGAACATAAATCCCCTACAGGGGTAAAGATTTTCAATCTTGATTTGACCTGGATTTCAGCTATTTTGGGATGGGCGTGGCCCCTGGGAGTGGCCTGAGTGGGTTTGGAGATCGAAAATTGATTTTTCTGATGGTTTGGAACAGGTACTAACTATTTAAACCCCTAAACTTGTTCCAAATATCCCGGAACATAAATCCCCTACAGGGGTAAAGATTTTCAATCTTGATTTGACCAGGATTTCAGCTATTTTGGGATGGGCGTGGCCCCTGGGAGTGGCCTGAGTGGGTTGGGAGATCGAAACTTGATTTTTCTGATGGTTTGGAACAGGTACTAACTATTTAAACCCCTAAACCTGTTCCAAATACCCCGGAACATAAATCCCCTACAGGGGTAAAGATTTTCAATCTTGATTTGTCCTGGATTTCAGCTATTTTGGGATGGGCGTGGCCCCTGGGAGTGGCCTGAGTGGGTTGGGTGGTCGAAACTTGATTTTTCTGATGGTTTGGAACAGGTACTAACTATTTAAACCCCTAAACCTGTTCCAAATACCCCGGAACATAAATCCCCTACAGGGGTCAAATCCCCTACAAAAATCAAGGGAACGTGCTCTTGCGCACGTACGTTCGCGCAGTGAGGATTGCTGATGATACGTTTCGGCCATGGAGCGAGTTCATTTTTGTTTTGAATCGGTTTTTTTTGGTTTTTTTTTATTTTTTAAAAATTTTTAAAAATTTTAATTTAAATTTTGTTTTGTTTTGGTTTTAGTTTTTTTTTTGTTTTTTTTTTGTTTTTTTTTAATTTTTTAAAATTTTACTTTTAATTTAGTTTTATTTTAATTTGGTTTAGTTTTAATTTGTTTTAATTTTGTTTTATTTTGTTTTATTTTGTTTTAATTTACTTTTTATTTAATTTTCAATTCAATCTTGATTTATTTTGTTTTTCTTTAGTCTTTTTGAAATAATTTACAATGATCCACCTCGGCCACCATACACATCACTAATTATACGTCACTAATTGATAATATGATATGATCACCGTGGGACCCCTAATAATAGGGGGGGGGGGGGGGGGGGGGGGGTCTGGAAGTCGGCCTCCCGAACTGGCTCACAAAGTCCTGTAAAACCAGCGCTGCAGATTACATGTTTCAGTCAATAGATCGTGCTAGTGAGCATTTCTTAAAACTGACAACGAATTAATTAAAATTCGAATCTCGTGCCGCGTTTTCAACTGAGTCTAGTCATGAGATAAAATAGTGACTTGGTGACGCTGTCACATAGCCCGGCACTCACGTGTATATGTAAAGATATAACACTGTAAGTCTAACTCTTCAAAAACATCCCAAAATGTTTATCAGTTCTGCGTGAATGACGAATAACTAATATTTATAGTATAAAAGATGTAACAAAATAAAGCT